CCCTCTGTGTGAGCACTGAAGAGACTGGAGCCAACTGGGCTGGTTGGGAATGCCAAGGAAGTGGTACAAGATGGGGCTGCTTCTCCTCTTCCTGCTCTCCCCTTCCCTTTGATTTCCTGGAATCTCTGAGTTGGGGAACAAATGAATTAGCCAGCAGTGGACACTATACCTCTGAAATCAGCGGCAAAGATCTAAGGTCATACATTCAAATTCTTTTACCTACTTCTCTTCTAAGACCTCTTTGTTAGTGTGCCATCCAGCGTGGACAGAAACCTGTGCCTAAGCTAACATGCCCATTCACATGGCGTCACAGGATGAAAGAACAAAACTGTCAGCCCAAAGAAAGGTGAAAAATGCCTCTCCAAAGGAAAAAGAAACTACAAAGTTGCTGTTCTGGTACAATCAAGTGGACAGATTTAGTCAACTAAACATGCAAAGCACAAGGTGTTTGTAGAATTTAACCTATCCAGCCAACACAACCTCTCCTGCAACTTGCTGCCATGTCTCCTGGGTGTTTTAGTGACAAGCAGTCCAAGCAAACACAAAACCCATCATCTAATGAGACTCTTGACTTTGAAGTGGTGAGATACCAATTTTAAGTCCTGTGCAGGCATCCAAGATAAACACACTCTAGGCCATTCATGGCTGTTCCATGCAAGAAGCCTTGGACAGAGCTGAAGGAATGACAGCTTAATAGCAACAAAAAGAAATGGAATGCCCTCCTCCTACCCACACTGAGCTTGCTTCCCCAGCTCAAAGGCTCACTGAAGGCAGCTGACAAATTCCCATTAGTCTTTCTGCAGGTTTCCAGATTTTCCTTCTGCTTTGAGCACCACATGAATAATATTCTCAGCAGTGCTCTCACTGAAGTCATGGAGCATTGACCCACAGCTGAAGACTTGGCTTTGCTGTGTTTTGCACTTGAAGGCCAGTTACAAATAGCAGGTCAGGTGCCATTGTACTGAAATGTGATAATCTGGTCAGAGTGGCCAGCCTCCATTTTCACGCACTGAAGATAATAGGCCTTACCTCAAAATAAATAACGAGTTAAAAAATAACATAATAATTTTGCTATAAATGTATGGAAGTGCTGCAGGTTTGTTTGCTTATAGGTTGACATGTAAAGTTAGTAATGTTAGATATTATCTGAGGGCTATTTCAAGGCTAACTTCCTACAAACTAGTTTATTAAATTTTAGGCTAAATCCTAGGTAATTCTTTTAATTCTTATAAATCTCAACATCTCTGTGCCAGAAGATGAAAGCAACATCAGGCCCTTCATTTCTGTAAAGCACTTGCAGAGCCTCACATGAAAGACACTTTGTCAAACCAACTAACACAAAGTCTTTGGCTTTAGGTAACTCTCATTCAGCAAAAAAACCCAAACAAACAAAACAAAACACCAAAACCACACCAAAACAAACAAACAACCCCCCCCAACCCAAGCCAGTGGCTTCAGAGGCAGCTTTAGTGAATGCAGATTTCAGGTTGTCATCTTTCAGCAGTATTTTTAAGACAGAGCCAGCTCCTGAGGGACCCTGAATATGTGCAACTGACTTCAATTAATTCTGCAGGATTCCAGCACCCCAGGATTTAATCCATAGACAGGAGCACTAGGAATGGCTGCTTTTTCTAGGATGGCCTAATCATCACCTTGAGTATGTGAATGCGTTAACCTTAAAAAACCCCATTTAAACAGGGTCCTGTATGCCTGAATCCCCACAGACCTGGCCATAACAGAAGCCTCCTCTGATTTTAGGCAGGTACAGCTGGGAAGAAGAGATGCCCTTTCTTTTTCACTGCAGCACCTCAGAGCAGTTTATTTCAGTGCAAACAGACTTCCCTTTTTATTTTTAACGCTGAAAGAGCAGCACATGTTGCTATGCCCTGAAACAAAACTAGAATTTAAGAAAGCCCCCAGCACAACACACAGTACAGCCCATCCAGGACCTATGCAATGTTTGGTATGAAGCCATTGGTACCAAATGTTTGGTACCAAACCAGTTTATATTCAGTAGAAAAAGGCTCAGTGTCCAAAGCAGCATGTGGAGCATTCAGCAAGCAGCTCTTATTAGTGCCAACCAGAGCCTGGCTACTAAACCTTCACACCTTTTTAGAGATGTTTCCTCTGTCTTTTAGAGACATTTCTTATAAATCTACTCTGGAGCTGAAACCAAGCAGGCAGAAGTTTTAGCTGGGGAAAAAGTAGTCTTAGCCATTAGAAAGCTGGCCCTGTTCCAGAAGAGAGAGCATCTGGCCACCAGCTGTGTTTAGAGGACAGCAGGCCTAAGGAACAGATCAGGGGAAAACTGGAGAAACAAGTAGACAGTGCTGAAATTTGTAATGAAAAGAATGCCAGCCTTCCCCTGTCATGTCCAAAACCTTTGCCCTCCACATTCCCCATCCTTTTCTCTTCCCAGCTCTTGAGCCAATTATTGGAAAATCAACTATTCAGGACAACACAGATACCACTTCTGGGCTTAGGAAGGAATCCAGCAGGGCTCTAGAGAAAAAAACCCAGGGAATTGTGGAAACTAGCGGCATGTGAAGCAAAGTGGGAATGTGAGGAAATTCTGGAAACTAAGGGAGAAATGTGTAGGGATATAAGGAAAGATCTGTCAGGAGGCAACGACAGGATGTCTTGTAAGTCCTCAAATATTACAGCAGTGGATTAGTATAAAAATGACAGATGGAAAGGCAACTTCACTCATTAGAGGATGGAAAATTATGATTAAAAAAGAAAATCCTAAGTGTTTCTAAGGATGTTTTAACTTTTTCCATTTTACCAAGACTGGAAGCAATATTTGGCCTCAAAATTTGTAAATTATTGCAACTCGTACAAAGACGAAAGGAAGAGAAAGCTTTTTATTTTCCAAGATGATAACACCATGTCTGAAAAAAATGCTAATAAAATGCTCTGTTGGAAAGAGCCTTATCTGATAGGGATGGTATTCGTGGGCACCCACTGAAACTCACATTGCTTTTTAGATTAAATTGACAAGAGCCCTTCCCCCAGCCCCAGATTAATGGAATGAAGAATCCACGCATGAAGCCACATATAATAAAGGTTGGAGATTACGAAACAGGCTAGAAGACACGATCAGAATTGCAATTGATCTTGATGAAGTGGGGAAATTGCTCTGATTAGAGAAGAACAAATTTAATAAGGAGAAATTGAAAGTGTTATACTTTGAAAGGTGTAGTAAACAAATGCATAAATAAAGATGGAAATCCTGGGAAGGCAGCAGTGAATCCCTCAGGAATTATAAAACAGACTAGATCAAAGTCAGCCATGGGATGTTCTTGAAGAAAATATCTGGGGATATATTTTCTGATATGCTTTACATAAACCACAGCAACAGTTTCTCTGCTTTGCTTGCTAATGTATAAAACTCCTGCTGAGGTATGGAAATTTGGGGAAAATGAGAAGCCATGAGAGGAATGACAGCAAAAATCAGAAAACACTAACAAAGGAACTAGGAAAGACTATACTAGTGATGCAAAGAGGGTAATTCCTTTCATACATAAAATAACTTTCTAAAAAGATCTTGTAAGATCATCTGTTTTTCCTGTCAATCAGGACTCGAAGGAAAAGTGGCTTGATTTGCAGTGAAGAAATTCTGAAGTCTCTTAGGAAAACCTTCTGATTATGAGAGTGGTGAAGATCATGGATTCCTGTGACTGGATTTCTGAAGAGCCTGCAAACTGCACATTGTCTGGCATGGCTCAGCTGGACCTCACCCAGCCTCACATCAGGAGAGGCAGACTAAAATCACCATTTCCAAATGCTGGTTTGTGAATCCACAAAGGTTTGCTGGCTGCTTCCAGGAGAAATGAATGCTAGGTTTACACAGGCTGGCAAAAGTCCTGGGGACCACTGGTCAAAAAAGAATTGAAAGTTATGATTATTTTTTCTTACGGTTTCCTTCAGCTATACATCTGTGATGTTTGGATTACCAGCATTCCAAGAGCAAAAGTTATTCCTGTATGAATCCTTAGCTGTAGTCCCTTCCTGTAACAGCTCGGGGTGCCCAAACACGGTGACCACCTCAGGTACAGCCACCAAAGGTCCTATTAACCCCTTTATTGCCGAAAGAAACCTAGTGAACTTCACCACAGACACTCACAACTCAGAAGAAGGACAAGCATGGAGTTACCAGTTTTTCACTCCTATTTAACATAATGATTATTGTCTGAAAAACTTTGCTATATTAAACCATGAGGCTGCAGGGTGAGGCCTGCTCTTAGCTAGTTGTTTTTGTCATAGAAGGATGGGTTTCCACGGATGAGATGGCACACGAAGCAACAACAAGCACCTCTGTGTGTTGCTGCTGTTGTAACTATGGTCTTGCTTCTTTATGATCACAACATTCACTCAGAAATAGCCATTACTTATGAGTTCCAGACAACATCTTCTGTGAACATCTACTATGCAGAAAACAAGATCTAATTGACTGACATGCAGTGTCTCTGCAACATTAATGGCAGTTTAGACATTTTGTCATTTGTTTCAGAAACTGTAGAGGCTTTAGAAGACCAAGCATAAGGGAGGATTTATACCTCAGAGTCATAAAACAGGTTCCTACTGTGTTGATAACTAAAGGCAAAATGGTGTTCTCTGAGCACATCAAAAGTTGGAACATGGAAGGGCACCTGATGTAGATGCTTCAACAAAAGAAAAAGAGGTTAACATGCAAACTTCTAAATTTCTTAGAATGGCACGGTAGAAAATAAATGTATTAATGACACTTTGCCATGGAGAAGGCAACATCTTTGCCTGCTTCTTACTGCACTTTTCAAAGAGGGCATCCAGAATGTTGTGGCACGTAGCAGATTTGTCTTGCTAACAATATGCTGCAAAATAAACAAAGCTGACATTTGACATTTAAATGACATCCCCCCCACCCCACCCTACCCAAGCCCTGCATTGTAGATTACCTATACATTCTCAGGATACAGTGAGAAATCATTCTACAGTACATATTTAATTATAATTTTAAAAGGTCTAACTCAGACACAATCTCTGGCCAGTAGCAAAGTATCCACACATCACTAAAATTAAAGATCTGTTGTTATCTCTTCACTGCAACAAACAGAAATCAGCATCTCGAGAAGGAGCTCCAGGGGTATCATATCACAGCCAGTCACACCAGATAAAAAAATAAGCTAATTTCACAAATGAAGTTTGACAAGAAGTAACATTGCATTTGTCTTGGCAAAACGAAGCACAAATGGAACATTTCACAGGTACAGTTACCATGCAAACGCATGTTTGTTGAGTTTGTCATTGATTTCAACCCCAAATCACGAGTAGCATGCAGTTCTCCTGCCCCCCCAACTATTGTATTAGAGACAGTCTGGGTATTGTGCCTCTTTGGTGTAACCATAGCCTCTTAGGCAAGATTATACCACCCTAGGAAAGAATACAAGCAAAACTTGAGCATATGTGTGTTTACACAATGTACATTTTACCATTTAAAAAACCAAAACATGTTACATAGATTCTCAAACGCAGCTCTGTTGAAAATGAAATTTTAAGCTTAAGAAACAGGTTTTAAACTACAAGGCCACCCCATTATTTTTTATGAACAGTTTAAAAAGTTCCCACCCCTAAAAATCTGCCAGTATATTTCCTCAACTATAACAGTCTTACCCACTCTCTAATACAGCTGATCTTTGCTGGACAGCAATAACAGTTCTTACATTTCTTAAATGCACAAGATAATGGACTCTGGGATAGATATAGTTCTTAACTGTGTAACACTGGAACAAATCTGACTTAAATGATTAATTGGTCAATTCAGGTGTTCCCCAGAACTACCCTTCAGGCAGGGACTTCTGCTGTTCACTGATGTGAGTTCTGGCTTTTGTTGGCTTCAAGCTTCATGAACAGGCTTGTGTTCAGAATGTGAGTACAAGGGCAATTCACTGGATACTCTGGTACCCAGCTTGCTCAAAACCAGGGAGGAACTTTGTATTCTCTCATCCAGGTGGGGACACAGCCCCAGCGCAGCACCTCTGGCTGAGACAGAACTGTTTGGATGCGACGTAGAATTTTTTACATTTTCTTTTTTTGTAGTCATTTAAGCAACTGCAACAGGTTTGAGCAACTGCAACAGAAGACTTAACTTCCAGGGTCTTTAATTAGAGGGTTACCATCTTCCTCAGCTTTACACAATGGAGCCCTTTGAAGAAGACAAATGAATTGACTGAATCCTTGTGGCCAACGTCCTCTGTAAGTCCTCTAGTACATTCTGACCAGATGTTTCTCCATTCTTGTCATACAACAACTGTTTGAAAGCTTCGTTTTCAATGAGGACCATCATGTTTTTTAGAAAGTAGCCTTCACAATAGGCAGATAGTTCTGTGACGCCGAGGAACTACAAGAAGTGAAATTAGAGAAAGATAACCATTCTGATAAAACCCAGGCAGCAAATATAGTGCTACACACAAGAGCTACACACAAACAAATACACAAGCTAAGCCTTTTAGACAGGCACAGTCTAAAATGTGCTTACCTACAGATATAAATGCATGGAGAGGAAGGAGTTAATAAAACAGTATTTTATGCTGATGATTCTCATAATAATTCCATGTTAAAAGACCCTGGCTGTTGGGGAAACAAAATTCCACAGACTGAAGCTTTGCTCCCTTGGAAACTGATGGAAGTTCTACCACAGAGTTTACCAGACCCATGATTTCATGCTAGAAGTTACACCCTAAAACTACAGGTTTGGGAAAATATGACAGACCACGTTTCAAGAATGCTGTCCTTAGCAAGGATGGGACATATGACTGCAGAAAGCTGTCATGCAAAATTTCATGCTTTGAGGAGAAATGGAAATAATCAGCCATTGAAAAAATCTCCCCTGGGCAGAGGAAAGCTTCCCAGCATTGGACACTTTAAGATTCAGCTGGGCAGCATGCTGGGCCATCTAGTCTAGACTGTATGTTTGCAAAGAAAGGTTGGACCAGATGATCCTTGAAGTACCTTCCATGCTGGTATTCCACAGTTCTATGATAGCAATTTAAAAAATGGAATGTCCATAGGGATATTAATGATATCAGTACTCTCCAGTCAGCATTTATTTGTAAATATGACCAAATCCACATTACAGAATCACAGAATACACTGAGCTGGAAGGGACTCACAAGGATTACTGAGTCCAACTCCTGGGCCTGCAAGGGACCATCCACCAAACTGTATCTGTCTCTCAATCCTGATGACAAAGGCTGTGCTCCACTTGCCTCTGGGCCAACCTGCTCACACATCCCCCTCTGGAAAGGTCGGGGAGGTCCTCCAGGTGCAGATGAGCTGCAAAGCAGCAAGGTCAAGAAAGGTGTCCCTGACCATGGCTCCAAGTAGATGACCTTTAAGGGTCCCTTCCAACCCAACTAATTCCAGAAGTCAAAGATTCAGGCACAGCCAGGTTGGCTATTGCTGCAATGCACTACTCATAGCAGTGCCAACCTGACTCTGGCTGTAAAACCCACCCAGGTACCCCATTTCCACTGCTTCCACAGGGAGGTGCAGGCACAAATAACTTGCAGGTTAGGGCTCTTACAGGCAAACCAGGAGCTGGATTTAGCCACCGGGTTTGTTAAGTCCCAGCATGAAAGAATTTTCTTCAGTCAGGATGTAAACAAAAGCCCCATTTCACAATTCAAAGTAAACATGATTTTAAAGTAAAATTATTGTTTTTACTGACAGCAGTACAAATTGAGAAGTTGGCACATGAGCTACATGACAAATAAAATCTTTTTCAAATAATTCCTGCACTGTAATTTTTTTCCTCTCACATTAAATGGACCTACAGATACACCTCATTGCTTATTTTTATAGGTGGATCTTTGTGCTGTTTCAAACACTGTTTGCATGTTATCTGTACACGAAGACCAGCATTACTATTCTCTGTAGGAAATACCTGATGATGGGAATGGAGGTCAGATCTGCAGGGGTTTGGAGAAATCTGCAGGATTACTCTGTTCAATCAAACCTCCATGTCACAATGCATCAGTTTTATCTTTTGTATAGACCATGCAAGTTAGAGAAAAAATCTCTTTAAAAATGCTTGAAGAATATTTCACTGCACTTATTTGTGTAACATTTCCATCTTCCAAGTGAAAATCTAACTACTCCACATGAGGAGGGAAAAAACTGAAAAGAATAAATGTGGTAACCACCTCCACCAATGCGTGAAAATAGGTTTTCTAGGACAAGAAATGCCATGCTTTTGTGTCTAATGACTTAGGCAACCTCACAAGCTAAGTATATAATTTGATTCCAATAAGAAACTCTCCAAGACATAAAATTCTCATTACCATCCTTGCAGGGCTCTGAGCCATTGCACTTCCACAACATGGCATTTTTATATATTGACAAGGTGTCACCAGCATTGAGTGTATCACCCACTGGGCTTCAGGCAGGAAGAAACAGGTAATGGAAATGGGAAAATGCATCTTGGAAGGTGAAAGCAGAGATGCCTACTTCACTTAGTGATTCTTGTAGAATCAGCTCACCAGTTTGTGCTGCCATGAATAAGGGATAGATCGCCCACATAGTGGTACACTCAAATTGAGGTTGGACCACTCAGGGAAGGGGCTGAGAAGCTGCCACCTTGGACTTAGACTAATTTTGGATTGCCACTATACCAGGGACCTATTAATCAGTCAGTCCCAGTAAATGAATGACAAATCTACAAATCTTAAACATGCAACAAATGTACTAAGCATATTATTTACATATACATATATATATATATATATATATATAATATATATAAAACTACTTATTACAGAACTGACCTACAAGAATGACTGCAGACACACAACATGCAAGCATATGCAGTTATTTTTACCTTGGCATGATTATAAATATCCACGCAGTTTTCTGTATTAATGCTTTTTGCACAAATGATCTCACAGTGTCGTTGTAAAGCTTCAAGCTGGAAAAATTTAGCAGCAGAGAGAAGCTAAAAAAAAACAAAAGGCATGGAAAAAATAGTCAAAAACTGCTGAGTGATACAGAATCAGAGCTTGCTTCTTTACTGTTTCATTATACTTTTTTCTCTGCCCCTTCTTCAGTTAGCATGAAAGTACTGACAAAAAGTCAGAATGAGAGATTGCTTTGTTGTTTTAACCCTCTGCAGTCCCTTCTAAATCACACAATGGGAATCTATACACAGAGAGAACACCAAAGGCTACTCAGGTCCACATGCTGACTTTGGAATGGGACAAGGAGAAAAAGGAAACAGCGGTTTGAAGAATATTTTGTCACTGTGCAAACATGACTGCAACAAAAGACCTGCAAATACATCCCCAAAACCAAGGTTCTGGTTCAACTATTCCCCAAGATCTTTTTGAAACAGAGCACCTGGGCTGGATGTGAGGAAGTCAGCAGAAAGGTCAGGAACAAGTGTACAGAGGAATTCAAACCAAACGATGATGACCGTCCTGGGCAGACTTAATCTAGGGAGACAATAAACTTCAAATCTGCCACCTCAGCAGGCTCAGGGGAGTGGAATGAGATCTCCATATGCTCCTTGTCCTAACTTGTGAGCAGCTGTCAGGGGATGTCCAGGCCAGGAGCACTCAAACACTGTCTGGGGTCCACGTTACTCCAAGGAACGAGTGCACAGAGGTGGGAACCAGCTTAGTCAGGCAGTGCCTAGCCAGCATTCATGTGAGTGTCATGTGTCTGCCATACCACAGCTCTTCTGACACCAGCACTGACCTCCCTCTTTGGCCCTGCATCTCCCCTGTGGCTACACTGCCTACCCTGGCACTGCCTTGGCATCTCTGCATGCCTGTGGGGTGAAAATTGCTTGAATTTTGAGTTCTCCTACTGATTTCAGCAGTGTTAGTATTTCCTCTATTGCCCTTTTTCTGTCCTTTTACATGAAAGTCATTTAATTTTCTGGCTTTCCATGGCAGGCCATTGTCTCTGGCTCTTTGCCTTAGAAAGCAGGTTGGAGTTCTTCATTGCTTGACACCTTGCTGTAACCCAGCCAGACCTTAGATCGAGCTGTTCATGTGTTTAAATAGCACTTACTCAGGTATTGAGGCTTTTACACAGCCCTTATTATTTGGGACTCACAACAAAAAGCTAACCTGCGCATCCCAAAGGGGCTCTCATGCTGCACTGGGGAACAAACAAAACCCTGAAACTTCCATGACATTATTCTGACTTCTCCTATGCAGTCTGCTCAAGATCTACTTTAATCCCATAAATAAATCCAAGTGCTGGAAATCTGCAGTGCTGATGTGATAGCAGCCAGCTGGCCCCAATTATGAATTGCAGCAAAGATTTCTGTGGAGTATTTCTGGTGCTTCTTGTTATCATATGTGTAATAAGGCAAGTTGCTAAATGCAGTTTTGAAAGATAAAGACAAATCCTATTCCAGCTGCCTCTGTGGCTCAAGCAGTCATGTGCTGGTTTGTAATTACTTTAAACTGTGAGGAACCACGGCCAAATCTGTTATCAAGAGATCAATCAATCAGTCATACATTCTGGAGTCTCAGAAGTTTTGAGATGTCACAAAAGTAGAGCAAGCTGCCAGCTGAAATGCAGCACAAGCTTTTTAACAGCCTAGGTGATAACACACACATTTCTATAAAGCCACTGCACTGCCTAGTCTAAAATTCTCTGTTTCAGAAAAGGTTAGAAATTCAGGAAGTCTCTCAAAACTCTGAGTGAAACAGAGAATTAGGGAACTTTTCCTATACAGTTTAGGAAGTCGACTGCCTGCACTAGAGAGGGGTAATTTCAGTCCTGACCAGTTCCATCCTCTGACTGCCAGACCGTAGAGTTATAGGGACAGAATAATACAGGCAACAGCGACAGGACACGAGGAAAAGGAAAGCAGCTGCACCAGGGGAAGTGCAGATTGGCCATAAGGAGCAGGTTCCCCCCTGAGAGGGTGGTCAGTCCCTGAACAGGCTCCCCAGGGAAGTGCTCGTGGCACAAAGCCTACCAGAGCTCATGGCACACCTGCACAACACTCTGATGTGGTTTAGCTAACATAGCCCTGCAAGGAGCAGGGAGTTGGACTTGATGGTCCTGATGGGTCTCTTCCAACTAGAGATACTCTGTGATTGTGGTGGCAGATACTGATAGTCACCTGCTGTTTAAGTAGCTCTGAATTTAGTATTTACTGACCGGCATCCTTTTTTGGCTGCCTGAAAACTCCCTGAATGACTATCAAGAATTTGCTCAATATATCTTAGTTCAGTTTAGTTGGAGTGGTTTTGCTGATCATAGCTGACAATGATGGCACACAGTGTTTGGAAGGGGATTACTTAACATCCATAAGGTTGTGGTTGCATGGCTGGTGGCTGTGGCTGTGTGAAATTCCAGTCAGCTCCAGCTGGCTTGGTTTGGCTTTTGCAAAAGGCCACAACAGCACCTGGATGTTTTAAATTCAATGAGAAAGAGGCAAAGAAGTCTCTGTATCTCAGGGAGCAGATTATGGTTTTATTCATAAAATCTGAGAGTCACGTGCTTGAAATTGAACTGAACTGTGTCTCCAGTGGACTTCTCTCATGGTTAGAGCCCAGCATGTGCCCAACACTTCTCCCATGTGAGAAATAAAATCAGATGTTTTTAATGCTGATGAGACAGGGCTAAGTTGCTGGAAATTGGTTCCAGATTGTGGTAACACCAGCTTTGCCTCTAAGTAGGTATTTGCAAAGTCTCCCAGTCTCCTGCAGGACTGCAGAGAGCCTGGGCACTCCAGATGAGGCACTGCTGGCTCTTACAGGAGTGCTCATGTCTTGCCCCATGGCCACGTGCCCTCGGGTGAATGGTACACAGATCAGTCAGCATCGCTCCCACTGCAATTAAATAAATGTCTCTTACCTCCATAATTTCATTATTTTTAATCAGGAGTGACTCTGCACCTCCATAATAAAGATACTGCATTACCAGCTGTAATAAAACAAAGAAGTGTTTATAAAAATCAGTCCAAGACAAAGAGGAACAGGGCACAATGCAGGCAATACCCGAGGCTCTCCTAACACCACCACGGATTTGTAGGTAAAAAGGGCTCAAGCCTCCTGATTTCAAAGATATACTTGGTTATTCTCTCGCTCTGCAAAGTTCAGTGTTTCCTTCTCTCAGGTAGTCTAATGTCTCAACCCCTCACCCTCAAATTGTCTGGATTTCCTGGTGAGCTCCAAACAGCTTGCAGGAAACTGATTAACTCGTTTGGAATTTTCACTGTGTTTCCCAGTCAGTTAAGTACATCACTGATTCAGGCAAACACAGCACACAGAGTGATTATTCCCTTACTCCCTCCCTGGCAAAGGCCACCTTCATCCAGCTGTGTGTGGGCATGCATGGAAGATAAGAAAGAGGTGGAGGAGGCTTTGCACAGTAACACAAGCTAGCCAAGATTCCTCTGTGGGGAGCCCAGTTATTGTGGGCAGCTGGGAATTATGTGCAGCAGTAACAGTTGACACATGGAGCTGCCTGAGCTCCGGCTCAAAGCAAGGGAAGCATATCCATGTACATGCTACAGGTACAGACAGCAACCTCTGCCTTTTCATGGCACAAAATTGATTGGAGAGCACTGCTAAGGAAGGGAATGAAGTGTGTCTCTTCCAAACCTGTCATTAAATACAGAAAGAGCCAACTGCGGAAAGAAATGCCTATGCTGACAGGCAGTGCTTTGTGTGCACAGCCCATGTCAGTGAAATGCAGGTTGCTGTATCTGCTGGGGCACATTTGCAATCCATAGAACTCTGCAGTGCTCAAACAGAGATGAAGCCTGTGCTTGTGAAACCACTGCTCTGGTTTATCAAATACAGAGGTGCTAATTTGGACAGGGCATGTGTGGTGCTCCTCTTACAAGTTCCATTCAAATTCAGTGTGAGGACTGTACCTGAAAGATGGGGTACTTCACATAGTTGATCTCAATACAAGTACTATCAGATGAGGGCTTGCTAGACAGCAATGCTTTAAACCTAAATAAAAAGGAGCAAAACTGAAATACCAGCCCAGTTATCTCAGTGGAAAAATGCAGTAAAAACAGTACAGAAGTTCAGTGGAATGACAGCATCAATTCTTGCAAAAACAGTACACTGAAATGAACATATTTGTCACCAGAAAGCATCAAGATTTAGACATTAGCATGAAGTTCAAACCAAAAGTAAGAAGCTTCTCTCTAGAAGATTTCAATTCAAATTTTTTTTTAAAAATACATCTAATATAACAATAGAGTAAAATGTACATCCAAAACTCAGATTCTGTAATAACACATATTACAGATCCCATTGTTTTTTTCTTGAAGGCAACATGATCTTTTATAAAGATCTGCAACATTTAAAACTTGAATGTTTTCCTTTTTTGAGGGAGATAGATTTTGGCTTATGTCCATTATGCTGGTTTAAAAAATCTTTTGGAACAAAACAAAAAAAAGACACTGAGACTTTTAATGCTCCTATGCACGCTCAATGTAATTGTGTGAGAAGAGGCAGGAGAGAAAACTGGATAGGTTGCTGTTCTCCGATTATCAAAACCTGAAATTCAGGCACAAGTTTCAGGACAAAAAACCCACATATTTTTAGTTAATAATTGGAAACTTATGTGAGATATATACATATGTAAGAATTTACTTCTCAAAAACAGGTATTCCTGTTGATCAGACGGTGAAAATGGGCAATGTGCTGCCAGAAACAACAGCCCTTGTACTTCCTCTCTTTGATAATTCATGTGACCTTCCAGCAGCAGTTCAGAGCTCAGCTTATCTATCAAGACCAGCATTTGCTGGATGGTAACCTTCCCCCATCGTGACTGCATCTTGTTTGTTCAAATACAGATGACAATTTACTTGCTTTCACTAGTGCCAAACTCTATTATGAACACAATTTAGTAGCCTTAAAGCTGGAGTTTGGAACACATTTGTACATCTACCAAGAAGCTCTAAACATCAATATCCATTTCTTAGTTGAAGGCAGGGTCAGGTACTGCAGTTACTTCATGCAAATCTCGTTACTCTGTGCTGTGAGTTGGCAGCACAACCAGCATCAATTCCCATATTGCTTAAATCATCCAAACTCAGAGCTCTGTCCTTGCCACATCTCAAAATAAGCTGTTATGAAGGGTCAGTAAGATTTGTTTAAAAGCACACATTGAATTATACAGCTGCATACAAATAATGTTTGTGAGCAACTCTTGGGTTGGGTTGAGCTGGGAAACTCACATTCAGCCTTCTGAGCACGGGAAACCAACTATCAATACTGCCTTTGGATACAGTATGATATGTTTCACAGCTATTTCATTTCATTTAAAAGTTGTCGAATGCTGTCAAGAATTGTGTGATAGTAGCTTGTTTTTCCTGGAGACTGCTGAAACTGATGCAAGGCAGGATTTAACCACTCACAAGAATTTAACCACTCTTAAATTATTAATAATCAAAGTATCATGACTCCTGCATGGTCAAGAACTGCGTGGTGCAGTAATGAGCACCATGCCACTGTGCCTCAGTGCAAGGAAGTCAGATACATGGCCAGAAGCACGGATCATTCACTGGATGAAAATCTATTGACAGGAGCACTTGTTAAATACCTGGCAGATCAACCAGAAACAAGCTGTGGGGATGTTCTGATTAAGAAAAATTTGAAGATTGGGCCACTAGCCCTCAAAGAACTGGGACAGCAAAACCAACAAAAAACCCCCACAAACCCATAAAATCAAATTATATTTTTGTTAAAAAACAGAGATGTGTCTCTATTTTACCTTGGCGATGCAGTAAATAGCAACACTCGATGTGCATAAAATGGTCTTCCTTCCACCAGAAATGTGACATCTGACATCTCTTTATTGTTAAGAAAATGGGGATCTAGAATAGCAAAAAGAAGGAAACAAAAAAGTCAATAACTTTAATTTGGAAGAGGTCAGGAACATACTGAATATTTCCCTGTTTTGACAAAAGAAAGTAACAGAATAGAAGGATATTGTTTTTAGTGAGTAAAGCCCATGAAGCTGTTTTGGACAGAGACAACCACACTGAGTTCAGACAAAGGGAATTCAAAGCTCTGAAGACCATGACGACCTTTGCTGAAATGACACCCAGCCGTCCCTGCCATGTGCTGCTGGCACAGCCTCCAGCTCCGCTACCCAGAGCAAACTGCAGCTCAGCAGATGATGGGGGGCCCTCTGCTCATTTATACTCTCTTAGGCCACTCCCTGTGTGAGGAAGTCTCTGTCATGGGGAAGAGGGTCCTGGAAAATTGTTTGCCTCTTCTCCCAGTCCCCTGAAAACACCCTGGGCTCTGCTGACCAAGCTGACAGGGCTGTGCTGGTGCAGCATCACCTGCAGCCAGCCAGGGTGGTTTGAGATCCAGACACACACCTTGCTCCAGGGCCAAGGCTTGGATCCCAGCCTAATCAGCTACACAGACAAATCTTTGCAGATTTACGGCCCCACTCCAGCGCGCCTGATGACCCTCCTCATGTCAGTGGGAGTTTTAGGTCAGGTTAAATTTGGGGCCCTTCCTTCCTCTAATTCTGTCTTTCAAATTGAGATTTTTCTGACTTGTGGCCCACTCAAGCACCGGCCAGCAACAGCCTTCCCACAGCTCTCCCGGAGAGCCGACGAGGATCTGCAGTGACGCTTACCCAGGCGGGAGGTCTGCTTACGCTTAATTTCCACGAGCTTTGGAATTGGGTAGGGTCCATAGCAATGAGTGAAAATGACAGAGAGCTGCTGGCTGATCACCTCGTTCTACACAAAAGAAAACAAATATACACAACATAAGATCAGTATGCAAAGGACATGTTATGTTGTTCAAAACAGCCGCCTGTTTTGAAGGTGAAAAATGTGATTGCTGAAGCTTTATTAAAAATAAGAGCTTACGATTATTAGCATTTGCTAGAAACTGCAGTTCTCATTTACTTGACTGCTATGTCTCCTGTACAAATAATTTTAAATGAAGAAGTCTTCTCCTTGGATGACAAGTCTTCTTTGCCTACAAAATTCCATAGCCCAGTCCCCTCTGCAAAAACAAAGTTCCTTTACAACAGTGAGTTCATTTTATTTGCAGACATACTGTACTGGAAAATGACTTTATTTTTTGCTCTTAAGAAAATGGTCACATCTTAGAAAACCCGAGCTGCAGACAGATGCAGCTGCACAGCCTGCACACGTTTTGAAGCGCAGCAATCTCACAAACAGACCCTTCCTCTAGAGAGTGACTGAGGCACCAGAGCCAGCCACTCATTTAATCCCAAATGTTTCATTAATGTGCTCTTACACCTCTGGCACCAGTGTGGGCACCACTGTGCTGTGGAAGCCAGACCCTCATAGAACCAGGTCTGTTCCCTGGCCTTACCCCTTTCTGCCCCAGCTTTGGGGGCAAGGCACCCATAAGATGCTTTCCTAAGCACCTTGAGTATTTGTATGCCTAAGATGCAAGGGTACTGAAATGTATTTAATGCTTAACTACCTAAGTCCCAGATGAAAGCAGGATTTAAAAACTTTGGCAAATTTTATCCCACACTTTGCTGATAACTGGAGCAAGTCTAGACAAGTTCAGCAGTGCCACACTGCTAATTCATGGTGCCATCTTTTAACTACCCTGTTGGCTGGTGAGTCTCTCTACACCAGGAAGCTGTGAAATGGCAAGACACTTAGACATAAGAGGGTCAAAGGCCAAGGAAATAAGCAGGTGAGGGACCAAAAAAAAAGAGTATAAAAATTTGAGGAATATACTTGTTCTATTAAAAATATCTCCAGGCTTTAGAAGCAGAAATTGAAGCTTTCCTTGCTCTGAGTACTTTTCAGAAGTCCTCCTTAAACCCCACGAGTGACAAGGAGGAGTGGCAGAGATGCTGTAATGACTCTCTTACTGAATCTAATCAAACAGGGTGGGAAGGGGTAGAGCTGTTCCCTCACAGGCACATGCTGATGTCAAAGGAAATTACACGCACTCGCCGCAGGCAGGAGTTGGCTCCTATTACTACGTCAGATGTAGCACTGAAAGAAACTCTAAGATAAGAGAAACTCTCATACTGAGAGACACCATTTAGCAGGCACAGGGCCCAGCCTCAGAGAAGGGCTCACTGCTGTGGCCCCGAGACAAGGAGGGCGTCTCACCCCAGGAGCATCTCACTGTTCTGCATCCTCCTGTCAGACTCAGCAAAGTGCCTCACAAAGGGAGTGAATCACAGGCTAAAGAGAAAAGGAAGATTTAAGGCCAGATTTAAAGAAGGAAGTGACTCAGCTGCTGGGAGGGCTGGGAGGGGAAGCTTTAGACAGACAGGGCAGAAAGAGCAATATCTTCTCTGCTCGGAAGGGCTGTGCCGGAGCGCCAGGGCCGACTGAGTCAGGCAGGGAGGAGCACGTCCAGGGGGATGCTGACTACCAGCAGGGCAGCTCCCAGTTGGATCTGGCAGATGCTAGAAGTCAGAAAATACAACAGAAGATGGGGACAATTCCATGGTTACAGTGGAGGGAAGCTTCCGGAGAGGAGAAACAATGCTCACCTTTCCCTGCAATGAATAAAAGCAAAGTGCACTGAAGAGGAGAGCTTCTGGCAGCCCCCTCCCCAATCTGCTGGGTGCACAGGTCCTGTCTGTGTCACTGAGGTTTTCATGGGTTCCATGAACTCAGCAGTCCCAGCCACAGCTGTGCCTACACAATAGCTTCTTAGAAACACACACATGCATCAACAAAGACAATGAATCTCCTCCTTCCAGGGTGTCTGTGGGAACGTGCTGATGGAAAATCTGGGTATTGGCTTTGCTGTGCCTTGTTAGGAGCTGGAGGCCCAACTCACCAGACCAAACCACAGGACCATGGACCAGGACATCCAGCTGCACTGAGACCAGGGAAGGACAGGCCAAACTCAGCCACCCAAGTGGGAGAAGGGGATCCCTACTAGTAAGTCCAACCAACATAAAGAACCAGTCATGCCTGCAGACAATCCCACAGGAGCCTGCCTACACGGGTGAGGGCTACCAGCACCCTGGGTCACCAGCTATGTGGTTTGCAGATACAAGCCCATTAAAAAATCACTTTGCCCACAAGCCCATGAAAAATATGGTGTAAACTAAGCTCTAATTAGCTCAAAATGTGATACACTCACACGAGAGATGCTTAAAAACCCCAAGACATGGAACAGAAGTGGGACAAAGAGAAAAGAGACCTTAGGATGGACACATCAAAGAAAGAGGGCCATCAGACAGACAGTGGCTTCAGACCTCCCATGCAGAACACTGACCTCACTTGGCAGAGAGAAGGCTGGAGACCTTTGGCTTCTACTGATATCATTAAACACTTACATCTCATGCCATTCAAAGGCCAAAAAATGTGCTCAGCAAGAAAGCTGTGCTTATTTACAGTCATTGCTAACAAACAGCAGCAAGGGAGAGGACTGGTAAATTATTGCAGCACGCCAAGTTTGCTTCTCACACCCCCAGCAAGTAGCCAAGCTCACAGGGCTGTGGCACTGGATCTGCTCCCCACAGTGCCTCCGCTGACTTTTACCAATAAACCAGGCAGAAATAGGAGAGGGAAAAGGGATACTTCATGTGCAGCTGGATGGCTGGGGAAAAATGGCTTTTTAAAGCCAAATCCTGCTCTTGGAGGACTTGGGCTGCCAAGAAGTGACTGGGAGCAACTCCATGACCTGGGGCAAGCATTCCTCTGAAAGACAGGAGGACACGTTCAGCCTATTCAACCTTCACTTTCACACAGTGCCCACACTGAGGTGCTTAGAAGCTCCCACTTAAGCACCAAGATGGATAATTCCTCCCTGTTTATCTTTTCATCCTGTCAACCTAACTGTGAAAGCAAAACTGCAGCAGTTGTGGGCAGCAAGATTAACACTGGAGAAGTAAACCAAAGTTTGTTTTCTTGCTGCAGTTTGATGTTGGAAAACATTGTGCCAGGATGTGTGAGGCTGGCACCTGGAGCAAGGCCAGCCTCCCTTTAGTCATGGGCGTTCATTTGCACTCCAAGGGAGCCGACGCACATCTTCTTCTGTGGGAGGGGGAAGAATGTTTGGCACAGGATATAATAAAAATATTTACCTAGCCATGGGGTAGTTTACAGATAGGGAAGAGGGAACAGGGAACAACAGCGAGTCTTCTGAGGGAGATGGTGCTTCCAGCAGAGAGCTGGTTGGTGAGCAAGCAACTTTGCTTTGTAGATACAAGCAGTCTCCTGACTTAAAAGCATTCTTCAGCAGAGATCTAAAGGAATTCCCCAGTCCTGCTGAATGCACTTGAACTGTGAGGGGAATTTATAAATTCTTTTGAAGCAAAGCTGGAGGCTTTCAAGTTGTTGGACCAGAGATGCCTTGTTGATTGATCTGAGAAGAGGTGAAGACCTGGGTGGGAAGTGCAGGGATATTTTTTCCTGAATGTCCATCTGACGAAGGTCTGTGGCAGAATTCAGGGAAGTCTCCTCCAGGCTTCAGCACATACCCTGGGAGTGCTTCCTTCATTCCAGGTTACACGGATCAATGCAGCATAGCCATTCTGGGATGTGTTCCTACAAGGCACTGGACACAACTGGGAAATACAAAGCCAATATTGTCCAATGTCTGTGCAAGACACGTGTCTATGCCCCAAACTCTGCAGGGCAAAATGTGTGTTGCAGACTGCTCAAACCCCACTGCTTAGTTCTTACCAGCCTACAGACAGCCTACCACCACTACGTGGCTGCCCTGTACAAGGCTAACCTCTTGGTAACAAGTCAGGCTTCTTTCCTTTGTCTCTGAAATCCCAAGCAGTATTTTGGGGTTTTCTTCTACTGATGCTACACTCACCAGCTCAGCTCCATTAATGCTGTTTTAACCTAAGTCTACCAGGCCCTCAAATTCCTCTACCACATAGCCCAAAAACCACAGCTCACCAAAAGCCCAGCTCACAACATGAAGGCAGAAAAAGTAACACTTATTCTTCTGGGCTTGGTGTCTGCCTGTTAATACACAACTCCCCAGCAAGCTGAGAAACCACACTGCTCAGAGAATAGGGGCACTGGCAAAGGTATCTTCTCTCTCCTGAGGAAGCTCGGGGGACCCATTTCTCTGCTAAATTCAGAGTGGCAGAAGTGTTGTTTCCAGTCACCCATCTCACATGCAGTCCCCAGCAGCTGTTCCAGCAGTGGCAGTCTCAGTACACCCTGAGCCCATTGAGAACTTATCCATGACATGCTGGGATACCCTTGAATTAGTCCTCTATTCATGCTCCCTATTCCCAGAAAAAGATGATAAAGCATGAAGTAACAGAGAGGGCTTTTTGCTGTACCCCATCCCTGAGCACTCAAACTCTGAGACCTTCTTTTCCATCTCAGAACTGTCTCCACCCTTGCACATGTGTTCCCACTACCGTTCTCTTGCATAATTCATGCTCACCAAATGCCTCAAAACTAAATAAATGCCACTTCAGATGGTCACTCCTAGATGGTTAAGCAGCATACACATAATTAATATTAGTCAAACAGCTGGAAAGGGAGGGAAGCCCCAGAGGTTGGAGCTACAGTTAGAAGCAGTAAACTGCGCAACAAAATGGGTTTTGTTAGCACTGGGCTCAAGCTCCTCCACTGCAAGCACAAACAGAAAAGAATTAATCACAGGTAAGGCAGCAATGGACCCTTCCATTGCTTCTGGGAAAGCTGCCAAGCTTCCTTTTCAAAAGGCTCTTTATATCCCAGCTGTGCATTGTATGTAAAAAGCTCAGATCCACGGGCACAGTCCAATCCCCGGGTGAGAGCCCAGAAAAGGGAAGGTGTCACATCCACGGCATTTATTTATTGTAAATGAAGAAGGCTCCTGCCTCTGGCAGGGGAATATTTTACAAGGTAGCAGAGGGTAGGAACAAAATCAAACCTGTGTTAGTAAGTACCAAGCTGAATGTGTGTTATGAAACCACAGGATGGGGTTAACAGTGTGTTATTAACATGCCACTCAGTACCTGGCGCTCGCATCTCACACGCAGAATGCAGGATGTACATGTGTGGATAACCTGGCGCCGGCTTGCTCGGAACTGTTCAGACACAGAAGTGCTACAAGTGACAATGGGCAATGCTACAGATCACTGCACTTGCTTGAGAACAGTGAAACCTGACTAACAAAATCACAGCAAGTCCCAGCCAAGAGATCGATCACCACGTGCTGGCTGGGCACTGGATGACACACAGAAGGGCATTAGCCACGCCATGGAATCCATAAGCAGACCATTTAGTATCCTGGGATGTCTTCAGAGTTATTTTTAGTGCAGGTTTTGGTGAGCCCGTCTCCTCTGTAGAAATTTCGCATTTTTCTTCAGCTGAAGTATTTCAGTCATCAGCCAAAATATTCCATTTTCAGGTGTTAATTTTTTCAAGAAAGGTAAAATATTATGTGGGAAACAAATATCCTAGTGAAACCTTTCATTACAATAAAAGCTCAGTTTTCTGTTGAAAAGCAGTCCAACAAGACAGTTGGACAAGTCTTTTCTGATGGTCTCCAGGTAAGAGAAACATGACAACACTCTCCCAGGGGAAGACTTTCCCTTGGGACACGATTATGACAGAGTGCCTGCCCCAGTGCTATGCAGGGTTCACCTCTCCTCTCTACCCTTAGCCCTTCCTGCAGAACAGGGCACTCTGGCTTCATGCAACAAAATACAGCTTCACTCAAGCTCATCTGAAACATTCATTTCAGCCCACCATGAAGCAATGGAAAAAGGTGGAATTTTCTAGCTCCTTGTCTTCCAGTGCCACTTTCTAGGTCACATGCAGACCCTGGGGAAATACTGGTTTTTTGCTGACCACCATGCCTGGACTTAGTAGAGAAGACGCATGAGCTGAGCCTGTTGACATTCTCCAACATTTGTTTTAGAAGAATCAAATCCAGAAAAACAGAGAAATCAATCCCAGCAACAGAGAAACTGAATGCTCATCTCAAGCTTCAGCTTCTGAAAGTTTTCTTGGAACACAACAGCCAGATGCTTCAGTCTTTCCTGCTGCCTTCTGTTTGATAGAGACATGAAAATACTTTTTCAGTAATTAGTGCATCTATGACAGAGGCTGTCTCTGAGAAGATATATTTTAAAAAACACTCCACAACTTTCCTTTTAAGAGATTTTGGTTTCCAAATGGAGAAGTTACTGCTGAAAGAGTACTTTAGCTTTGAAACCATATAGGCTAGATTTCTCAAGATACCCACATGCCTGAATCCTTTTGGAATTTTAAAACTGGTTATTGTTCTGAATTGCTATTTGTTCTCAATAACTGTCAACACCAGACTGATGGCTGTTATTCAAACACCTCAGCCTTCCAAAAGAGCCTGTGCACTCCTGCACATTTATTCAGCTGCCTGTAGGTGCATTTTGAAAGGTTCAAAAGCTGCAGGCATTTTAAATCCTGAGGAAACATCTTTGTAAAGTAGTTTCCTGCATCTTTCAACAAGCCTGACTGTCCAGCACCTCACTAATGGGCTAAATATTAAAATAAACTAAATAAAATAAACACGTTGTCACTGACAAAAATGGATGGGAAGGATGGATAGCGAGCTTCAGAATACAATGAAGGTATGGCAGTGAAGGATTGCTCCCATGACTTCTCAAGCTGATTTAGTCTTAGACAATACACTAGCAGGAGCATTTATAATCCTAAGCCAAGTTTTCCTGGTGTGAAGCACCTCTAGGAGCTTCAGACAATGCTTCAGCACATGTGCTCAATGCACGTGTGGACTCACACATGCACTTCGGAAATGCACGGCCACACAGGATCCAAAGAAATGGCAAAGAGCTCCTTTCCTTACTGATCCTATGAGGGAAAGGGAGAACGCTGCAAGAGAGATTACTTGGAATTAAAAGATTGTGTATTTTCTCCAAAAAATAGGCCAAAGTCAAGCTGATGTAAATTGCTGTAGGCAGAAAAAGCAGTGGATGAAACTGGCTCGTGACCTCCTACAACTGGCAAAGGTGTTGGATAATCTACATGGATGAAGCTGGGTGATTTAATGACAACTCAGTCTTATGCAGAGCCCTGGAGTGCAAACCTAAACCCAACCTACTCCAAAGGCCAGATGTGTTTAACTTCCAAGGTTGTGGTTTGAGTCTGTCTTTTCAGGTTGTGGAAATGTCAAGATCAAACTGAACAGCTCCAGGATTTTTGTAGACAGAGGACACAGAAGCATCTCTGCACATTCAGTGAGATGAATGCAGTGTATTATCCTTAAGAGAATCTCTGCAAAAACAGAGGAGCTGACCTGCGAGCCTCACCTCAGGTACTACAAGCCCATGGACTGGGATGCAGCCCCCATACAGCTCTTTTAAAAGCCTCTGTTTGGGGGGGCACTCCTCAGGTATATATGGTCCTCTGACATGGGGCAGGTGGGCAATCCAGCTCAGAGTCAAGCTCAGGCAATGCAAACATTAACTTCAGCTGGAGGGAAAGGAAAGCTTTCAGTCAGGAGTTTTGGTGGAGTTTTCCCAGGCCATGAAGAGCACAACACAGATGCCAACAGGCAGGAATTCAGTTCTATCTTCCTATCATTCTTCCATAACAAGATCTCCAGCATAATTTTAATTTTGAGGGACTCGACTCTGCTCTACACAGCAGCTAAAGTTTAGCTCAGGGCTACTCACTCCCAGAAGTGACTCTCTGGCTTCTGCCTCACACAGCCCTGTCAAAACCACTTCTAGCAGGTTATGTTTGTGTGCTTGTCTTCCAAAGAGATTGAATCCATCCCTAAATGGCAGTGCCTTTTCTACCCATGCAGTGTCCCAAAACCATCATGTGTCATCGACATTTTTTAGTTGCTGGAGTTTTCCAGTTTGGGTTTTGCTTGCTTTTAGGAGAGGTGCCTTAAACTGAGCTCTCCATGTCTTTGCCACAGATGTCGCTTTTTCCAGAGTGCCTTGACCCTGATCTTTAATTTGGTAATGACCCAAACTCACTGCAGGACAGCAGGAGCTGCAGAGGGAGCAACTGCAGATTGATTCTCTGTCCTCACAGCTCTGCCTCAGCAGCATGGAAACACTGCTACTTCCCCACTCCCCATGCAATTCTCAATGGTGCAGCTGATAGAAGACATTTAAAGGGATGAAAGGAAATGAAAAGAGCTCCATCCCACTGGAAGCCACCAGGAGCCGGGTATCAAACCTTCAGCTGTGCTTTTGGAAGACTTCCTCCAGGGCTTCAGTGCAGCAGTGAACAACCCATGTGCAACCTATACACTGTTCTCCCCCACTGACTTCACAGCTTGAACAAAGGCAATAAACCCAGGGACTTCAGCTCAGCCAGTTTTGCCTGACTCGCCGATTTTTGTTGCTGTTCTGTGTTACAGCATCAGGACTTCTGCAATTTTGTTTGTTGGGGTTTTTGTTTTTTGTTTCTACTGTCAGCATCCCAGCACAGAGATGGGAATGGAGTTCCACCCTGCCACCCTACAGGTCACCAGCATCAGTGCTGGTAGAGCTCCCACATAAACCCTCATATCTGTATCCTCTGGAAACAGGCATTTTATAAACCATCTGTAAGACAAAAGGGATTCCTCATATCTGACACTGCTCGTGTAGGTACTGGTTACGTTTTCTTTAATATTTTCATATCTATAGCATTTGGCCATTTTTCTTTGCATGGCCTGGGAACCTGCAAGAACATTTCGCACGGCAATGCAAAGCAGAAGGTGGGGGCGGAAAGTTTACTTCCTACCCTGAGACCTGCCCTTATGCTTCCATGGGATTTTTGGGGAGCTTCTCTGGCCAAATTACTCAACACTATGCATTGCTGTCTGGCTTATCCAGGTTATCACAGCCTCTGAGACTGGGACTGTCACTCCATGAGACACTGAAAATCTGCCTGTTTAATTACCTCAGTTTCCCTGTTGGTGAAGGGAAGATAAGATCTTTTTTCATGTCTCAACTCATTAATATTAGTAAATTGTTCTGAGATTATGGGATAGCTGGAACTATTTATAGGAACGCAAAATGCCATTTCTACTAGGTGCAAGTTGCCATGCAATTAAAATATACCGAGCATCACAATATGTAGCAAATGGGACATCTTGTTTTACATCAGCAAAGAACTGCTAAGTGGCTCTCTGCTTCCTAGTTGCTTATTTTATACTTTTTGCCCTGAAAAACTCATTAAGGAAATGTACTGGGCCAGACTGTGATGTTTAGCAAGAGTCATAATCTCTCTCGAAGTTTCCAGCCCACAGGGAAAAGCATGTCCGTGTGGGCAAATCAAGCTCCTCTCTCCACAGCTCTACAAAAAGCAGAGCTTTACAGTTTGCTGTCAAGAGAGAGGGATGTGAACCACAGTTATGGCCCTTCTGCACCTCTTAAAGGAGATTTCTATTCTGTGGGTATACACAAAAATCTCTGCTCTCAGCCCTTCCAGAGAAGGGGAACAGAAGATCCTTTAAATCTCAGCTCTCCTCAGCTGCCTTCTATGGAGTGACCAGGGAGAACTTTTATTGGCTCATTCTCCTACAAATGAATTTATGTAGATTCCTTCCAATGGGCTGCATAGTCTCTTTCCTCATTTCTGTCTGGGAAAGCTTTGTAAGAGGCCATTTGGACAAACCACCACAATAATTCATAACATTTGCAGACAATTTGTAAACCCTTACAGTGTCCCAGAATGATAAATTATTTTTTCTAAGACTATGAAACACTGTGTAGTGTGTGTTTGTGAATATGCATGAAGACAGGCAGTTCCCTCAGGCCCAGGGGCAGGCATAAAGATCAGCACAGATTTCTTCTTCATCATGTAGGGGTTTTTGTGATACTTCAGTTGTTTTGCCCCTCCATATTTTAGGTTTCTAAGTGAACCCAAAGCAGAAGGTAGCAGTCTTATTTTTTTCCCAGGTCTCCTACAACAGACTGTGGAAGACATAGATGTACTAAAGAGATAATCCCATGCAAAATATTTATTCTAATGATGATTGCTGGCCTTGGCTTCAGCCACCCAGGAGAAAAGCAATTAAAGTCACCCCTCATCCTAGATTACATGGCCTAAACTTAATTCTCTGTTAAGTTTTCAGTATGATTAGCTTCATACCAACTTTCAAACCAAACAGCACTTTGCTGGTAGTTTCTGGATGAACACACATTAACTCAAGTGAGTACAGAACAAGGAATCTACAAATCCTAGGATTTGGAACAATTTCTTAAAACCGATCTCAAAATATTCTCCATAAATACTCATCCAATAGAAACTAACTGCAAAGGCAAGGCTCATGGGAGCAAAAATCAGAACAATGCTGGAACGAATATGCAGGATTTGCTCAGGACTCTAGTCCAAGCCTGCTTTTGCAGCAAGATACAAGAAATAAATCCATGTAGGCCATCATTAGCTATAGCAAGCCTGGAATATTTAGTATTGAGTACCTATACCACAACCTCTCCCTTTTTCACATTATTTAGGCTATTGCTAAAAATTATTTGCTCCTTGTTGTTACACATAGAGTTGGGTGATAAAAGTTACTTACTTTCAGTTTACCAATTAGAAGGCCATACCAGCATGTATTGTGGAGTATTAGGAAAAAGAACACCAATTAAATAATTTTTATGCTTTTCATCACTACAATGATATTCTGGTAACAGTAGACAGTGACTGGACATTCCTTGGGAGTGACTGACTCTCTGAGGGACCAGTAATTGGTTAACAAGTTTTAAATTCTTCTCTAGGTAAGCCATTTCCCTCTCCTTGCCAGCTCCATGATCATCCCTTTTGCCATTACACTTGCATACCCAATCGTTCCTCCTTGGAAAGGTTTTATTAGTCTGATTTGTTTGGCTAAAAAAATGTAGCTGAAAGAATAAATCTGGGGAACCTGCAAACACAGAAAATTTGAAAAATTATATTTTTCTTTGCTTGTAGAAACCAGTCTCTTCACAAGCTTTAGAAGTCCAAATCCCACATGAAGGGAAGAGAAAATCATGACAGATGAAAGAAATCCAAAGTAAACATGGATATTAGCTTTGTTGTATGGTTCTGTAAAACAAGCTGGGTGAAATTATTCTTTGGGTTGGCTTCGTTATCAACATCTCTTGCCACACTGCCATGACCCTTTTGACTTTAATTTCTCCACTATGTACCAGCTTTTGTTGTCTCTCCAGCTTACTGTTAGCACCTGTTATTAGGCTGTTCTAGTAGGAGCTGATTAGCCTGTGTGTTTATAACCCATGCTTCCACAGTGAAAAAACCCGAGATACATAATACAGATAATAATAATAATCCTGTGCAGTCTAAACAACCATTGGGAGAGCTGTTCAAAAATAATATTGCAAGCTTTCGTGTCTTACAGGATGGGAATAAGGCTGATTGGCTTTAAAACACACAATTTCATCCTACCTTGCTGGCCTTCAGTATCTCAAACATCAGAGGCAACCCTTGTGTGATGAGCTCCTCAGTGTATTCCTCCTCCTGAATGGACTTGAACTCCTTCAGCAAGCACTGGATGAGGGGCCGTCGGTGCTGCTGGAAGGACGTGCGCAGAGACTCCAGCCACGTGTGCAGTGTCCAGGGAACGCCTGCAGAGCGAGGACACAGCTCATTCCCAGCCCCAGGCAAGGTCGTGTCCTTCTGCTTTTTACCTTTACTGATATGAAGATTTTAAGCGAAAGCTGCCAAATCATTCAAGAAATCAAATTCCTATTCATCCCTAATTGAGAAGGCTGATGGGTATCAGTGCATCCTAGAGCTAATGCACAGAGGCTTTCCTCCAAATGCTAAGAGAAGACTGTGGTCTCTCTGCTCATCTAGCCTTCAGCTTCTCTGCTGAGACTACCAATTTGTGGTAATTGCTGTGGTGTTCTGCGCTGCAAAAGCCTTTTGGAAACTAGATTTACACTAGCTCATTTGTTTGAATGTGGCCCTGGAGAGCCATTAAACGGTGAAAAAACCTGATTTTGGTCACTACCAGCCTGGATTCAAATTGGTGGTCTTCAGATTAAAACTTGCTTTAAGTGATGCCCCATGTCCTCTCCTGATCATTAGTATTTTCCCTAAAGAGCACTGAGCGAGTTAAGCAGATCAGCCCTTTCAAGCAGCTTGTCATGGCAGAACCACTCTCCAGGAAGTTAAAGGGAACTGCTCCCATGCACTGAGCGAGAAAGCACATGGAGCTAATGTACCTCTGCAGGAATGAGGCTGGATGTGACCTACTTTCTGCTCTTACAGAATGGAGTGGAAGGAAATACAAGCCTGGTGTTTGGCAAGTGAAGGTTTTTCCTTCCATGTCAGAAAATGTTCAATGCCTGCAGAGCACCCCTGCCACTCTCATTCATCTCCGGGTCTTTGCCTGCACAGCCCACTGCACACTCTGACCCATATCCCATGGCCCCAGGGCTGGAGCACTGCCCCAGGCAGAGGCACACCAGGCACTTGGATCTCTCTTTCTCTGTGAACAGATGAATGGGGATGGTAAACACACAGTCCAGATCGATTTCCATCTGCGTCACACAACCACCCTACCCACAGGCAGAAGCAACTTCACAGGGTATGATGTTCAAGTCCCTCACTGGCAGAGCTGGCATACCAAGGAGTCAGCTCCCTGCTCCTGCCTTCGGAGTCTTGAAAAATAAAGCTGTTTTAATGGTGGACTGCTTTAAAGCAGGGTGCCAAAGAGAAGCAGCTGGAGGTGACCCATGACAGCTAAACATTGCGCCAGAGCCTTACCTACACTCATGCAGCAGTGCAGATGGCTCCTGGTGGAAACCACTGTGTCCTGCAGAAAGAAGCCACTGGCCCCTGAACAGGGTGTGCTGTGGAGCTGGAATGGGCTGGGAACCTGTCAGATCTCCCATCACCTTCTATTCCGAAAGAGTTGAGGAAGATGTGACTGTGGTCGGTTTAAGCAACAGCCCGTCAGGAGGGACATGTTTCTCACAGTGGTCCTTCCCCGGCCGAAGCAGAGGAAGGAGCCCAGGACTGACCTATGCTCCGGATGTCGATGGTGACGTCCACGTAGCCGTGCTCGGCGCTGTGGTACATGGCCTCCTTCAGGGCCTTCAGCTTGGCCTTGCTGTTGCGGCTGGCGCAGAGTGGAGCTGCTGCTGAGTCGGGCAAGTCCGTGCCCTCGGCCAGGATCTCCTCCAGGGACAGGATATCACTCTTCTCCTTCTCCGGCTGAGCAAGAAGCTTGCGGAAAACATTCCTGTCAATCACAGCATGACAGAGGTGGGGGCAGGAGAGGAGACGAAAGGGAGGGCAGAGTCAGTGGCCAGGCTTTCACTGCACTAGGCTTACTTGCTGTGTGGCAAGTTAGGACACCTACCCAAGAAATTACTCCAGCTAATGGCAGAACCAGCTGAGAGCAGACCTAAGGCAAGCACAGCTCCTGCTAGCCCACCTGCACTGCCTGGGACACGTTTGCAAGTCACTGCTGTCGGGACACGAACCGCACAGATGTTGCACAAGTGGTGGCATCTTGTGGGAACAAAGACTCGTGAGCTAAATGTGACTCAAGACTTCTTCAGCAACCAGGGAAGGCCAAGGTGCCTCTGGACAAGCTCTTGGGACTCCCACCATGGCAGCCACCTGAAAAGGGAGCTGCCTGGAGCTACTGAAAGCACCACCACTCGATTCACACTCAAAGCAGTCTGGGAAAGCTAGAGCAGCTAGACATTCAACAAGGCCAGTCAGGGCAGGTTCAAGCACAGCTGGGACTACTCTACAAAACCACTGATCCAGCTGGGCCATCAAACAACAAAGCCCAGACTCAGAGACTTTGTGCCCTCAGGTTCACACCAGCATAACTCATCGACCTCAGTAGTTTCCCTTGGCTTTGCAGCTGTGAGAAGAGAAACCAGACTGACTGGCAGCCCGCCCTCCTTGTACGCCAGTGTCCCCCCTGCTCCTGCTTACAGTGCAGCATGGTGTGCCCCAAACAAATTTAGGGCAGAGATGGAAGGAAGGAGGTGTGTGTGAGTGTTATACAGGTAGGAACACAAGAGTTAGAGTCTGTGATATAGACAGGCCACAGCCAAGCCACGGAGAGCCCCAGGTTCTCCTTGGGCCTGTGGCTCTGATTCACATTGAGTGAATGTGAGACTTCAACACCCAAAGTGTCCTGGGATGTGTGTGCCAGGGATCCCTCGCAGGCTCCAGATGGACAGAGCTGTTGAACCCACCCTGACGTGCCGGGAGCATGTTGTTAGACTGGCAGCTTGTCTCTAAGCAAACACACGGTAGGTACTGTCTCTAACCTGTATCTATGTTCCTCTGGATGGCTACAATCAGAAAAGTAGGAGTGTGAAGATCATTATACTAATTCATTACACTGCCATCAACTCCTGAGCGTTGCAAGGTCATGCATGCCAGGTGCTCATCTCAGTAGTTCTTTTCTTTTTTAAATTTGCAGCATACAAACAACATTAAGACACACAGGACTGTACAGTAAACATAGATGCAGAAAATCTATTCAACAAAATTAAGGCTGCAGCAGTACAGACACAATTCACTCAAACCTGAGAAAAATATCAAGAAATTCCAAAGGAATGTTTTTGACATTCCTTTCTGCTGTCACATCCGCTGCCATTTAACAACCACTGCATTGAACACAGCACAAGAAGTCCCGTTCCTTTTTTTTTTTTTTACATCAGAAATCAAAACGCAGCTTGTACCACCAACTGGTTTAATTCACATGCTAGCAGAAAGCCTTACATCTCTGCTCAGTTGGTGGCACATTCAATTGTTCATGCAGAAATTTCACCCATCTGCTCAAATTGGATGCCCAGGCAAAAAAGTAGCACTTGAAGGATGCCACTAGACTTGTTCCCACTCTACCTGTGTCCATGTGCAGCAGCCTGACTGAAAGAGTTCATGTCACCTTGTGGAGTCATGGAAATGCCATTCCTGTACATTGTTCCTATCATGGGGTCAGCTCCTCGCTCCAACAGCAAACTGACCAGTTCAAAATTTCCTGCAAGGCAAGAGAAGCATTTGTACTCCTTTTAAAATCCAGTATTTGCTCACCTAAACCACATATCCCAGCTGAGGAATTGTTACAACGGGAGGAAAAAGAAAGTCCTTACCAGCAGCTGCTGCCAGCTGTAAAGGAGTTTCGGAGTAATTTTCCTCTCCATGATCTAAGGAACCTTCTACCTTTGCTCCAGCATCCAGCAATAGCTAGAAAGAAATTCACCATTTAGAGCAACTGGGGGTATCACAGTCTTCAGAGTTCATGAACAGTGACAAATGAGAATCTAATGCTTCTTGTTATCTGCAAACCAGATACAATGGAGACATGTGACATGCAAATTCTGCCCATTGTTTCACAGAGGCTAATTCATTCCTTTTTTCGCTCATTTTACGCTGCCAAACACCAGAAGCACCAGCGTCCAACTTCAGAGCCAAAAAAGTGTAACCCAGTGTTTTTGAATGGGAAACAGTCAGTGTTAGGAAGTAATGCACTGGAGATGGAAGAAAGTTAGCTCAAAAAGCATCCTTCCTTCATGGTCTTCTAGAAGCCCAGCACCATCCAAAAATGGGTCAGATTTCAATTGTCTCCATCTTTTATATGAAGACATGGCCAAAAGAAAGGCAATTCTTAAGAACCAATTGCAGCAATGAGTCCAAAAATCTGTGGTCTCCATCGGGGACACTTCCACATAAGTAGCAACAACACTGAAAACAAAAGTGGCCAAGGAGAGCACGATGGAGCCTGTGTTCCAGCCCCCTCTTGGCCATTTCTGTCTTAAGGCCTTCCAAGTTTTGGTGCTTGAGCGTGTCACACACACAGCTGTTTTGAAGAATAAACCTTCTCAACTTTTGAGATGCCAAAGCACAGAGCCAGCACATCCCACGTGACACCTGGATGGGGTAAGGAGAGTGAGGGATTCTCCCCCTCTGGAGCAGCACGAGAGCTGTTGTCCACCTCTCTCCCAACAGGGCAGTGGTTTTGTTAGAATATTACAGTGTAAGAAAGTGCAATGAATGAATAAACAAACATATAAAACAAGTGGTCAGGAAGGAGCACAAGGAGTTGTCAGACTTTCTTTGGTGCAACTTTGCTTTAAAATTGTCCTGTTTAAGCCTCATATTGGTTAAGGTTTGAACACCATATTCACTTTGTAAATCTATCATGTATCAGTACACTCTTGAAGAAGCAGAAGTAACCAATATGAGTATGACAAGAGGATGCTGGTTTGAGATGGATGTAATTAGAACTGAAGAGGAGAAAAAAAAAAAGAATGAGATGCAGGTAGGGAAATACAATAATACCTGAACTACAGGAATATGTCCATGCAACACAGCAAATGTCAGAGCTGTCCAATGGCGGGTCTCAGGGTGGACGGATGGGTATTTATGAGCAGTACTGACAACCTATAAACAAATTAAAGTTATTTTTTTAAAGAGCTATATGTAACAAAATTCAACCTGCCTGAAAGCCAGGCATGTGAGGGAGTAAGTGAAATAGAAAACCTGGGAAAGGTGCTTTATAAAATGATTTGCTTCGTTTTTTTCCTGCAAAATTTTTCTCAATATTAAAACTGTTTGTGCTGATTTGACAGCTTGATTTGAGTTCTTACCAAATGAAGTCTTTTACCAACTACTGTAGCTCCATCTAAACCACTGGCCACCAGATTCTTTTGCACAAGGGCAAAACATCCACAGCTGGTTATAACAGCACACACTGGGGAAGTAAGGATGGATCAGGACACTTACAGCTAAGGACCATTCCCACTGACTTCACCAGGCCACGTACCAACAGTCCTGGGTCCTGGGATTGCCCCAGGCCCAGCCAAATTTCTTTGCACTTAAATGAAGTACTTTTGTCACTGCTGTCATGAAAGACACATGACAAGCCCTACCCTGGAGTTTGCAGGCATTCTTCCAGGCTCCTCCCCTCTCACCAGAGGGGGAAAAAAAAAGTCTGAAAAGTGATGGGTCAGAGTGTCACTTCAGAAATGTTTAAGAAAATATCCTTTTTACTGCCTTTTCCTGTCTGAGTTGAGCTAAAAGTGCTGGGTGGTGACAGTTAAAAGAGACGCAAACTATATCCTTAGAAAACAAAATGCTATTCTTCAGGTTGCTCCTTCCATTTTCTATGCCTTAGTGCCTGGTGCCTCTAATGTAGACATTGGGGAAGATGAATAATCATTCTTTGCTTCAGTTTCCCTGTCTTAACAATAGAGGTATTAATATTGATGAGGTTCACAGAGCTGGTAGAATCTAATGAACATCTGCAATCCAAGGCTGCACACTCAGATGGAGTGTGACAGTAAAATTCAAAATCTTGTTACTGATCTTCAGAGGAGGACTAAAATCAGAGTAAAAGATGCACCATCTCTGTCTCACCAGCCAGCTCTGCTTTCACTAGTCAGAAGCACTTTAGTCCATACAGGGGAGCAGGGCCAGTCTTTAAATATCCGGTTCCATCAGCAGCTCTCATTTCCAAGCACCACATGCAGTGTTTTGCCAGAAGCAGGCCCTCAGTCCTAAGGACAGGGATGAAGGCAAAGCCTGAAGACCCCGTGCAGATCCCATAGCTTACCAGATCTGCACCAGCACCTGGCTGTTACCACCCAGATTTGCCAAAGAGAGAGCTCAAAGGGCACCACAAGGAGTATGCCGGCCTCTGAACAAGGACACAGGGCTCCTCAGGGGCTGAGCTGGGTCAGAAGGAAGAGGATTGAGCAGCTCAAACCTTGGGGTTTGGGATGTGGAGCAAGAGCAGCACAGGGGAAGGATGGGCAGGACCACAGCTCAGTGAATGCATCCAGCTCCTCCTCAAGCATGATGCCCACCACTGTTCGGGGCAGTCCATGTAAAGCAGCAAGCAAAGAAAATGAAGTCACTTAAACTCCTTTGCTCCTTTTTGTTTTGTTGGGTTTTTTTTTTTTTTTTTTTGTGTTTTTTTTTTTTTTTTTTTTTTTTTTTGGTGTTTTTTTTTTTTTTCCCCCCCAAGTCAGAGTTCTCTCCAACACAGTGTTTGCAAAAGACCTGTGCCTGGATAAGCTTTTAAGGATGAAACTGGCTGAGCAGCTACAGGTCTCACTGAGTACAGAGCAAACTGCAGCTTCTCAGCACATCTGGAAATGAGTCCATTTTCACTAAGGGTGGGCAATCAAAAAGGGAGGTGCCCAGCATTTGAGGCTACTTTTAGAAACATATTTGCAAAGTGAAAGGAAGAAAATTATGCAGCACCTGACAGAGTATTTATTTTTGTTCATGGTTGATTTGCCTTTTTTTTTTTTGCCATAATTGCCCAATTTGCACAGTTGGTTGTGGTGTGCACAAATCATCGTATAATTGCACGCCATAATTATTCACAGTTCTTGTCCAAAAGTGTTTTCATTTGATTTTAGAGCAAACACTCTACAGCAGTGAAATGGGGAGGTTCACATTCCTCACTGGAGCTGTTCTCTCATATGTCAGCAGTTTCAGGAAGACAAAACTGTTTAAATTTGCATTTGATTCAAGCCTGGAAGATTACTGGAGCAATCGGGATGACTGCTCCTAATGAAAATTCATCCTAGGAACCAAATAATGCCACCTCACATCTGAGCCATAAGGCAGGGTTAAGGCAGAGATCAGCCTCCCTGCCCATCCAGTCTTTGGACTGACTAGGGTTCAATTGTTCAGTTACTGCCAGCTTTGAGGGTGGTGTGCTTGACTGTGGGGAACTGAAATCACCAGCTGATTCCATGACACTGTCAGTCTCCTACAGGTGACATCCATTTCTACTTTTTAAATTTGACTTTTTCAAAGTGCAAAACATCTGTCTGAAGCAGTGACTCCAATTTATCAGCTCGCTCAAGTCCAAACAGAACAGATGGAACACAGATAAGTGAAGCAGACAGCTTAATTTACTCATGACCTCAACAAATTGAAACTGGAATCATTAACAAATAACTCTACACGGATTTTCAAATGGCTCTTTAAAAATGTACATACCTGCATTGCACTGAGCTGGACAACAATCTCTTTGGTGGACAGATTGCCTGAGTTTGTGATACACATTCATCAATGAGACATTTACATTCTGGAAGCTTCAAGCTCCTCATCCAACAGTTTTTAGCCCAAGGGACTTTGTCAAACAAAACAATGGAACCTATATGGCTCTTGTGTGCTGGGGATGCTTACTTGGAACATCCATATGCATAGAAATGCTGAGCTTTGGCAAGTTACCAGGTGGGTGTTTCTTTCACCTTCTCCATTTAAAGTCAGCTGAGATTCAGTGAGTCCTTCTAGTAGCATTAGAGCTGTGCTCAGGGTTAGTGCCAATTAATGCCTGTATTCATCTGCAGTGTGCAAACACAACTAATCACTGTTACCTGTGGGTTAACTCCAATGGCTGGACCCCTTCTGTGCAGTGGAACCCAGTGTTAACCTAATGCCATTTGATTTCACTGCTCATTTCAAGTGGCCCCAATCCCGGATAAAACAGATTTGTTTTCTTTTCCATTCTTGAGATTTTCGCTCCGTTACGTTTTCAGGGGGTAGTTTAAGACGTAAACAAACAACAGAAAAAAAAGATACAACCAACAAAAAGTCCTCACCTCAGCATTCAGATCTGCTCCAGCATCTAGCAGCATCTGCACCATAGCCTCATCACCCCTGACACAAGCATACATCAGTGGAGTCATGCCCTAGTCATTTTTTGGAGTTAAAAAACAAAGGAATTGACAAATTTAACACAGAACTCTCTTTGATTTCAAAAAACAATTATTTAAGTATATATCACCAAGACTAACAGCATGTATTTAATGAAAGCCATTACCTCTGTTACAAACATGCCCCTCAGAGTAGCAAAAGTCAAACATTTTTGTAAAAATCTCCATCTTTTTTGTCATTTGTGCTTACTGCTTGTATTTTTCATGTTGTCTTCAGCATGGTGAGTGAAACTAGGCTTGCCAGCCTCACCTCCATTGTATACTAAACTGAGCACTTTTGTCTTTGGGGACAGAGACACGTTTTCACCAAAGCAACCATTATTTCCACTGGTATTTTAGAAAGACCAGAATTCTATTCAGTTTTCTATGATGAGAGTGTCTTAAAATCTAACTTTTCAATTACCAAAAGAGCCTTTAAAACATCTCAAGCTCCTTTTAAGATCAGCCAGATTTGAGCACAGCTTTTTCAACATGGATACTGTAAGGGGCTGGAAATGTCAAGGCTTTGTATAGCACTCCCTAGCAAACATGGACTTAATTTTAAATGAAATGCCAGACAGCTTTGTTGCAAGTTGCTGGATCTAGGAAAACATGGCCCTGCTTGGAGAAAAAGTAGATTAAGTAGCCCTTCACTACAGAATCACCACAATGCAATTTGTATTAATCTGAAATACCTGATATGCCTGATCACCATTTCCCTTTAGGGAAGTACTGCTGTGGCTGTGGTAATGAGTCCAGATGAAACCACGAACAAAATTATTAAACATACTGCAAACTATAATAGCAAAAGCTGCTTATTAAATACAGTAGGGGGGGTTGACCAACAGCCACCAGTTGCTTTGCAGTAAATCTCCTGAAGCATGCAGCTACCTCTGATGCGTGTTTACAGCCTGCCTTGAGGTCCCCCAGTAAATCTGCTGTTAGACCACAGTCCATTTGCTCTTTAACCCAAGTGCTGCTATGAAGGGAAGTTATTTTCAGGGAAACTCGAGGTACCTGTCCTGGCCAGGCAGCGAGCTGTGACACTGCTCTTCCTAGGAAGAGCCCAGCACCACTGTTTTTGCTGAACTACCCCAGTTTTCTTGTTTGTGTGAAGGGCTAAAGGTAGTGGGTGCTTATGTAAGGAAAGGCTGCTCCTGTAGAGACAATATAAATTAATGTTTTATCCCTGCAAGGTCCTTAGGTCCTCCCTGAAAGACATGGAGCATTTCACAGGATCCAATCTGCAGTGTACTCGTGGAATAAGTACTTGGGGCCTCATGCCATTATTGAGAAAAAATAAGTTCATCCTAGGCAAGGAGAGCTCTTGGGTGACTTGAAGCTATTTGCAAAGAGAATTTGAAAGGACTTCAGCCACAGCCAGTGGCAAATCATTTCCTCTGGCAGTCGGTAAACACTATGGGAACAAACAGGACCACGCAAATTACAAAAAAAATTGTGCTTGGGCCTTGGAACATGAGGATAGGGTAACAGCTTAAAATTAAATACAGTTCCTTCAACTGGTTTTTCAGTTTCTGTAAGTGGCATCACTGGGTAATTAATGCAAGTGTTCATTGAGCACAAGGGGTCCAATCAGATCTGTAAAAAGAATCTGAAAACCCAATACTGGGGCTCTCCCTACAAGACACAGCACATGGACAGCCACAGTGAGGAGTCCTGCGGCAATATCCAGAGCAAAAGCTCAGCCCGTGAACCAAGCAAGGTGTCCTGACCCTGCTGCAGCTGAACAAGGACTTAACACTGACTAAAAGGGGCCCAGAATGTCATGCTGCAGTGTCAGGGTTTGAAAGAGTTAATGAGGATTTTAACCTCCCCGTCACTGGCACTGCTGTCCCTGTTGCTTTTGCCTCTCTCAGTCTCCCCAGGCTTGACCCGCAGCTCAGCCCTGGGCTGCAGCACCACTCACCCCCCTCCCTGCACGTGGGAGGAATGGATTTTTAATGAGCCCAGCATTAGTGTTCGAAGCACACACAGGACACAGTAACAATGTGTGCAATCAACACAAAGGGTATTTGGCTTTTGGCAAAATATGAAATTACTGAATTTCTTTCAGCTTTGTATGACTTAGGGCTCTGTCCTGCAAGATGTGGGACATTTGATCCAGCGAAACATTAAAGCACAGGCTTAATTTTCACTCAAATAGGATGTAAAAGCACGTGTTCAGAGTTAAGCATATGATTAGGTACTTTGATGAATCAAGCCAGAGTGTTCCCAGTTTTCAGCCTGGAGGACAGAGGCAATATGCTGTGAGAAGTTTCCAGGTTCAGACTAACTTAAAATAACAGTAATTTAAAAAAGTATGAACCTTGGAATAGGCAGTCTGATACTATTTTTTTTGCAGGAAGTATTGCCCTCTTCTTAAGATTTTCTCAGATGAATCCACAATACTAACTCAGACTGAAGCTACTGAACAGCAACATAAATCACATTCCTGGAACAGCTTTCATCTCAGAAGACCTAACCCATGAACAGTCCAGATCTTGTCCCTTGTGACCACCTGAGAGGTGGCAGCCATCCAGCTCCTGTCAAAAAAGACGCCACAGCTCTTGGAACATGAAGCAACAGACTTTCATCGGGGGCATCAGAAAGGTCAGGTCATTTCAAAAGGAAAGGTTAGTTTTCAAAGCCATCATCTCCCTCTGGGAAGGGGGAACCACCTCGGTGGGCACCACAGTCCAGCAGACAGCTGCCAGTAGGTAGCTGCAGAGGGCAGCTCTATCCCCAGCCACCAGCCTCACGGAGGTGTAGCTCCAAGGAAATTCAGGCTCTTCAACTGGTGGATGTTGGCAACAATGACCAGTGGAGGGGTAACTGAAGAGATACATTCATATTTGCGAGGTCTGTTCGAACTGGACTGAAATCCATTAAAGAGCACCAGAAATTAACCATTTACTGACAGGCTGGGCAGTGCACAGATCCCAGAGCTGTGTGCAGTGCAAGGCTGCTCACCTCACAAAGCCCTGTCTCACAGCACTGTGCACAGCACTGTAGCAGTTTTAAGTATTCAGCTCAACACTAAGCTCTCTGGGGATCTTCCTCTGCCTTCACTCGACTCAGTTCACTGTTAAGAAGATTTCAGGGGCTGCAGTCATCCTCATGCTGAGTTACCTCGGTACTGGCAAATCAATACAACTCAAAATGACCTCACAACATAGGCGCTCACCTGGCAGTGCCTTAACTCAGTGAAGGGGAAGCATTAAGGTCCTGTCTATGTAGAGCTGAAATCTGGGGCTCATTTCCTGTGCCAAGCAAACAAAACTCTCCCATTCCACAGCTGCTTCTGTACACGTCTATCCTGTTACCTGCTCGCTCATGCTGTTGATCCCATCCGGCCCCAGCAGGGATATGGCTTGCTTAACCAGATCCGTCCGGCCGCAGTTGAGCATCCGGAAGCCCAGGTCTTGCTTGAACTTGGCCTCGGTGGCAACTGCATCCAGCTTCCGAGAGGCACAGAAACAGTCGTCGATCCTGCGGGGTGAGAAACAAACTCTCTCAGAGGACAACCAGAGGACAGACCTCCCTGGGAAAATAATACTGTGCCCTGGTTTTGAAGGATTTAGGTCATGCATGCATCCATTCTCCTTTGACCTGCATGTGCAAGGGAAATGCTGAATGGGAAATGATAATGCAAGCTAATGGGAGACCGCCCTTGGTCTGTCTTTCATGGGACAAATTATAAATTTCAACGAAAACTGGGGAAAAAAAGCACAGCTTTCACTTGATTTTGTTTCCCTGTTTAGGCAATGTACAATACATTCTCACCACAAGTTTTGTCACTGCTTGGCAAAGTTATCCAGTTCCCACAATCCTTGAAAACTTTCAGTGACTTCAGTAAGCTTTGAACTTACATCAAACGGATGTATAATCATTGACAATACACCAAAGAGAAAATATTGTCACTCCAAACACCTTCAAGGATCTTACCAGCATAGTCACAGTAATCGGGAAGCTTTTTTGGAGCACAAAGAGCAAGTCACAGAATCACAGGCTGGCTGAGGTTGAGCAGAACCTCTAGAGGGCACCTGGTCCAAGCAGGGCCACATGTACATAAGACCATGCAACTGGGGGGTAAACAATCTCGCCAGGTAGTCATGGCAAAACCCCACAAATCCTTGCTGGCTGTGTCTTACAGATGAGATGTCATTCTTTCAAGGTCTTATTCAAAAGATCTTCAAACTGGACCAATATGCACTTCAAATGAAAGAAGGGCTAGGAGTTATTTAGCCGAGATGTGAATCTGCAGCTCCAGAGAGAGCCAGGCAACTCAAATCTAATGTTTATACAAGTTGGTTTCATCTTGCTAAAAGACAGATTTGCTTTTCTTTTATGCTGAGGAGTGTCTGGGGCAGAGGGTGGAGTCCAAATCCACAGCGCTTTTGGTGTGAACTTGGATAAAGGACTGTTTGGAAAAACACTGCTTTAAATCTGCAAAAATGCTAGGTCAGAAAATGAGGGGCTACTTATGAAGGAAAAACAAAATAGAGATCAAAAGTGAAAAGGTCAAGCATACATCAAATATTTGTTTTTCTATTTCATATGTAAAAAACCCCAGCAAATCAAAAGGAAAATAGAAACAGCACATCACTATCATTTAAATTCCTTCTTCAAAGTGCTTTATCAGACCTTTATAAAATATATAACACTGCTTAATATTTAACAGCACTATGCAACAAATATGCTGTTTATATAGAAGCAATGGCATGCAGCAATAGTTGCTGCTCTTCCTCTTTCAACAGAGGAAGGAAAGTGAAATGCAAAATACCAAGTGTTTTGATCAAAGCTTCTACAGGTTTGAAACCGGCATCTGATCTCATACTTGCTCTCTGCTGTGCTGGGCCACAACCAGTCTGGAGGACACCAGATGTTTTGGTGATGTTCATTCTACTGCTCAGTTTGAGTTTTGACTGATGAAAAAAGTTCATGTCCCAAGAATGCAAAAAAAGGAATGCTTGGAGTATCACCACTCAGGGAAACAAGGATGACGTTCCATCACCACAGGATGCTGCAAGATTAATGCATAATAAACACACTGCAACAGCAATAACAGATTCTGCACGAGCAGCGTGCCCACAGCAGAGAGGGAGAAAGCACCACACAGCAAGGGTGGGTTTTCTGCAGTACTTTCTGACTGAGTTTAAGTAAAAAGCAAAACCAGCACAGACATATGCGGGGCTGAGCTCACTGACACTGAGATCCATGGCAGCAATCGAGGCTAAATGCATTCACACCACATGGCACATTTCTGACACAAGAGCTACAGCAACATTTGGTGTTTGTTACCCCCATAGCATGAGATGCTGGAGATCATCTGTGCCCTCCTTTATGGCATGGCAAAGATAAAGCATGCTCAGAAGTTAGGTGGGGGCCGGGGGGGGGTTGGTGCATGGAGTAAAGACCTCCCAGCTGCAGATGGCATTCCCAGATGATTTTGGGCTGGAAATGAGGTGGTTCCTCAGAAAAGTGCAGCTATAGAAAGATCTAGACACCCTCTCTGCAGAGGTGTCTGCTGCTATGAATCACTGCCTGTGTTAATTCACTGCTTCATCATTTGTACTGAGGTATGTAACATACACTGAATAAAATGGGTCAGACTCTGACAGAGTCACTGATGTCAGCCCAGCTCAGTGCATGGAAATGATAGTTGATCATCTCCTCTTCAAAAAAAGAGCCAAACTTTGACCTGGGTTGCACACCACAGAAAGGACCTATCTCACCTAGCTTGTATGGGTTTCCCAGATCTCTACTCTGGCATGGGTTCAAAAATCATCAGGAACTCCTCCATGAAGTGGCTTTGGTCTCCTGAAAATGCATCAGCTCGCCTTCTTACTATAGTCAAGGAAGGAGAGCCATAAATTCCTGTTGGTATTTACCATCAACAAATCAGTACTCCTTAATCAGCTGGGGGGATAAGTGTCTTGGTCCAAGGGCTGCAGGGTGCTACAGCTGTAAAAACAGTGCAACAATAACATGGATGCAGAGGAGTGCCTGGGCGGCACAGGGGGTTGGACACCAGCCCTGACAAAGTCTGAGCTAGACCAAGTTCCACAAAACAAGAAACCACAATTTAATACCACTACCAGTGGCCCACTGCCTTTTTTATACCCCAAGCAGGACCACTGTGAGTATTGCCATATGTTGACTAATAAACTGGATAGTGATCAAACTGGTGAGTTTATTAGAACAGGAGCATGACACAAAGGAAAGGAGCAGAGCACGAGGAGAGAAAACAACATCTCAAAAAACCAGAGAGATGAATGAGTTAAAGAAAAAGAGATTTAACATGTGCTGATAAAAAGCAGTGAAGAGACACCAAAAAATGATCAGGGACTACAAGTACAAATAGAAAAGCACAGCATCACTTTTAACATTGGAGAAAGCCAGCTGGGAGGACTGTAAGGCAGACAGACCAAGCTGTTGCATTTCAAAATGAAAACTGGAAAATTTAAAAAAACCCCAAATCCATCAAAAGTCAAACCTAAGCCAACACAGCACTGCATTTTCTCCCAAGTTCTCCTTCTTACCATTCACTGCATAATACTGATTCCAAAAAGAAGCAGAGGGTGTCTGCTCCATCTTACACTGTGTAAGGGAGTCCATTGTAGACACCATCCAGAATCACAAACATCAAAGAATGCAAGATAAAAAAAAGAGGAAGCGAATATACTCCCAGGCTTGCTCAAGACTCACTTTGGACTGAAGCAAACATACTGACAAGGTCTGAAGAGGTGGGAAAGGGATGGGAAAAAGCTTGAAATATAAAGCTGATGGGGAACAAGTAAAGTCAGCTAAATATGCAGGGTCACTTTTTAGAGTTGTGAAACTGTGCCTGCTAAGCAAGGGAAGAGAGCACATGAGCACACAGAGCTGGAGCCCTCCCCAGCTGCACTGTCAGCATGGGGCGCTTTTGCCAAAAAGTCTTTGTGATCTTTCCAAGTGCACAGGAGGCTGACACCAGCCCAACAGCAGGATGTCCCCTCCAAGGCTACCCTGGTTGTTGCCAAACCAGGATGACCTGGCCATCAGCATTCACACAGGTCAGCCTTCCCCCAAGACCTCGCTCTGCAGAAAAGATGCATTTTCGTCAGTGGGGCTGGGAAGGCTGATGGGAAGAACAGAGAATCATGGAGGGACAATGCTCTTCTGCTCCTTTCCTACCTAGGGACAGTCTCAGGATGGTAGGACATCACCACCACACCAGTTGCTGGCTGGGACAGGCAAACTTCGAGGTTTCCCAGAGATGATACAGTGACAAAGGTAGGACTGACCAACATCCTCTGAGACTGATAACCCCTCTCTAAAGACACAGTCTATTCTGAACTTCCCTATTTAGCAACCTATGGGGCTGGGCAGGCTGCTTGGCACCACCACCATCACCACTGCATAATGTTCTCATTCCCAGAACTGAGAAATAATATGTTTGAATTAATAATACACACTTATCACAGGCCTTGTGCTCAACAGCAAATTCACCCCTCCAATTCAGGGGTTCAATCACAGAGCCTGTCAACTCCCCTCCCTTCCCTAGTGTGAAGCAAGCCAACAGTTGCCTTTAAAAATAAAAGAAAAATTAGACACAAATGAAATAATCTCAGTTTTACATTTGCAGTAAAATTGTGACCACATTTTTTAACTCACAATGCAATACAATTTTCTCCAAGTCCTCTTTTAATTCCTGATGGATACTGCCTCTACAGCTGTTATCTTCAAGATCATTACAGTGTTGCACATAATTAAATGGACTGCAGCTTTATATGGGGAATGCCATGGTAACATTAATTATTTGCAAATGGTCACTGTCAAACACTGCATGGTGACCATGACACTCCATCATACTCTGAAGTGCTCAAACCTCTGAAAGGAGTCAAAGATAGTCTTCTTCATTTGTAATGGGTCCTAGCAGTACAGCAAATTATTTTTCTTTTCCCAAACTCACATTACAAAAACATAACACAGCACTTCTACAGCAGCACTTTAAACACAAGGGATGTTGGTTTTTTTTTCATTTTCACTCTGACTGGCTAAGAGGGAGTCTGTGCAGATCTTTAATAAGTTACTCATGGGTTGAATACATTTGGGAAAATGGATGATTCAAAGGCAGTTTCCATCGTAACTGGTAGACGCAGTTGATTCAAAAGAAATGGGAGTGCAGTCTGTGACGAGCAGCAGGACAAACATTCCCCACGGCTCAAATGAACAGTTCACTGCACTGAGAGCCAAGCATCAGATCCCTGTTTGTTCACCTGGGACTCCATCACCAGCCCTTTCGACTGAAAGAGTGATAATCTACTAATAAGGCCCATCTTTTTAGCTTTGTAGAATTTATCCAGTTTGTCCTAAATACAAATGAGGTCTTGAGTCTGAAATTATAGTTCAGCTGGTTGGAAGCCTGCAAGGAGATGTCTTTTAGGCAGCAATATACATGCATTTGCAATGCTGAATTTCTTGGGGTCATGGATCACCGTTTTGAT